ATATATATATATATATATATATATATATATATATATATATATATATATATATATATATATATATATATATATATATATATATATATATATATATATAGTAGAAAGGTTTTTTTAATGTAGACTTTCTTTCTGATAAATATCTTTATTCTGATATCTCGTGGACACGGACCTGATTGGACAAGACTGAAATACATCACATCCGATTTGCCAGTCGCATATGGTCTAGTTGTAGAAGTTTTAGCGAATTAACAGGGCTCGAAATTAACCTCTTTTTCTTGGTAGCACTGGTGCTCCTAACTTCAAAAATTTAGCCCCACCAGCCAAAATTTAAGCGCACCAACCAAAATTTAGGCACACCCACCAAATATTATGAGCACCGTTACTACAAGTCTTATATTAACAGATTAATTGCATTTGAAAGCAACACTGATCAAAACTAATAAACTAAGAAAATATCTGGAGCACTTTTCCGGGACATTTGCTGTCAATTGCAACCAGGCAAACTGTACCAGGGCTCTAAATATTTAAGCAGTGAAGCAGTGAAATTTAATTTTTTTGCGACTGACAACAGCTGGTTACACAAAACCACAAACTTAATATTTTTGAGATTATCTTTATCGCTCGTTTGCTGTTTTTTAAAAACATTTCTCTTTGTTTGAATGACATTTCCAAACGTTTCTTAATTCTGGCATGGCTCATCTGTCCTAGCACTGTGACACATCTTTAAATGCTTTTTAGTTAGTTTTAGTTACTAATGTTAAATTTCTAAAAACCAGTTTCTGCGACCCTCTCTTTAACTGGCTGATTGGTCCAGGATCTCTGTGTTTTAATGAGCTTCCGGTTTCACTCAAGCGACCCGTTTTACAGAATTCCTGTTGGCCCGCTGACACCCGGCCGCTCGTGATGCAGCTCACCGGAGGAAGCAGAGCTGTTTAATGTTCTCTGAGGAGTTTTACTTATAGCCGTCTGAGGTATATAGAGCTGTCAGAGGACTCTTAAAAAAACAGATCTCTGACAGGTGGGTGAGGATGAAGAAATGTGTAGTGCTGTTTAAAGCCAATGTGAAATCTGCATTTACATTGAGTGCATTTGAAATCATGTACTTTCCTACTGTGTAGTATGTGGAAAACAGTATACGAGCCGAGTAGTGTGTCTGAATTCATAGTATTTGAAAAACAGTAGGCGAGAAACACACAGATGACCTACTACTTCCATTGAGATCGTGTAGTGTGCATCCAATCTAGGGCTGTACGATACATCGTTTCAGCATCGAAATCGCGATGTGCGCATCCGCAATAGATTAAAAAAAAAAAATAAAAAAAAAAAATAAAAAAATAAAAAAAAAAAATATATATATATATATATATATATATATATATATATATATATATATATATATACATATATATATATATATATATATATATATATATATATATATAATTTTTTTTTATATCTATATATATTATGGGTGGAGCCGAACCCGAATACGGTATTCGGATAAGCACGAAAGCACGATATAGAACAAATACTTGAAAAATTATTTGTATTCTGGAACAAGAAAAACATTACATCAAAAAGCTGCGTTTCCTCATGAGACCGCAGTGCATGCCCGCGTGAGTGAGTGAGACGTTCAAGAGTCGAGGGGCGGGGTGGGGCCGGGGTAAAAGGTGACTGAATCAGGCTGCTGCTCCACACAGCAACAGAGAAGGCTTGGCAGAGCGAAAAATACTTTACTGCATTACTACTTTTGTTAAATAATATTATTTTATCTGAACTGGGTTCCAGAGACAGTTTATAAACTTGTAGTGTACTTAAAGCGGAGTTTGATCGGTATATTAATTTATTGCGCTGCATTATTGACGTCTGCAATCTGTTGCTCTCTGTTTACATAAGTTAGCTCTGTTAGCACGGTAATTAAGACAATAGACTGTCGACAGAGTAACGTTAAAATAACTGTTTTTCATTTTAAACATTACATCAAAAAGCTGCGTTTCCTCATGAGACCGCAGTGCATGCCCGCGTGAGTGAGTGAGACGTTCAGGAGTCGAGGGGCGGGGTGGGGCCGGGGTAAAACACATACATACATATATATATATATATATCTATATATCTATATATCTATCTATATATCTATATATATGTATATATATATATATATATATATATATATATATATATATATATATATATATATATATATATATATATATATATATATATATATATATATATATATATATATATATATATATATATATAT